CGAGAACTCGTCCATTCACGTTAACAATGCTGATATACTGTAAGTGATATCCCTGTTGGCTGAAACAATTGGTGCAGAGCACTTCCGGGATGAGAGATTTCCAGTACGGTATCCAGACGCAGGGCCGGATTCAGGAGTGGGCAAAGTGGGCAACTGCCCAGGGGCCTCCACATATGACAATATTTTATTTATTTGTTTATTTATTTGGATTATTTTTATTTTCATTCTTTAAAATTCATGTTTATCTATTCCATCACGTAAAACTATGTTCAGAAAGAAGCGTGATAGAAATTAGGCTAGCTACTCCTTCAAATTCATGAATACAATGGCCCCTCGGTTAACGAGCGCCTCGGTTAACGAGTTACCTTCCACAAGATTCTTAACTTCGGTTAACGAGCAATCCCTCGATTAACGAGTTTCTTACGAGCCGACCTCAACATGTTTTCGCTTGCATTTGGCGGTCCACCAGCTGTAGTATTAGTCCGCCAATACAGTAATCGGTTCTAGGGCTTATATTCCTTACCATTTTAGTAAATATCAATAAGTTTATACTATTCAATAATTTTAAAAGTTTAATATTAAATTTTTTAGTCATTTTAACAATTATTGAACATAATTGAAGGTAAAGAAACTAGTTTTATGCGTGCCATCCAGCCTGTCAACACAGCAAACAGGCGCCAGTCTCTCTGTCTTTTCAGTGGAGGTAACATCTTGCTTGAGACTCTTCAAGTAAATGCTTTTTTTTTCTGTGTTTGCAAGCAAATTATTGGTCATTTTGAAATTTATTTTACATATTGACAATATATAATGCAGTGCATGGTCATTTTGAAATTTATTTTACATATTGACAATATATAATGCAGTGCAGTGTTGATTTAAAGAAAATAATCTTGATTACACCAAGTGAACTAAAATTTTATGGGTGAAATGGCGCCATGGGGTGACTTCTCTTCCACCCCAATGCCTTCTCTTCTCCCTTCTCCTCCACCCCCATTCTAATTCCCATCATCATCATCATCATCCAGGAGCCTTCTACATACACACCTCAAAGTACGTGTACTTTTCTACCTTTTTTGTTGAATTTAGGCAATTTTCGGTGAGCCGGAACCAATTACACAAAAACCCATTGAAACAATGGTTTCGGTAACGAGTTTGTCGGTTAACGAGCAACCTTCTAGAATGGATTGTGTTCGTTAACCGAGGGACCATGTACCTGGTTTTCCTATGAACCATATATTTTTAATGAATGCTATTGTTTGTGCTGCTAATAATATATTTAGAATTCCACAAACATATATTGATTAAAAATGAACTACAAGGAATAACGAAATTGAGATTAAAAAAAAAACAAATAAAATATTTTTTTTCATTATCACTTCCATTACGAATGCCATCAGGGCGCTGTGTTTGTTGACAGTCGGTCGGAGGGGGATGGGTCGTGTAGTATCTGCACATCGGTTGTCATGTGTCTGTCGATTAAAGAGGAGACTTGCGTCGCCCATGATTCGTGAACTTCCCACGAGTAGACATAAACATGTCTTGCAGATGTAAAATGAGAGAGAGAATTGTCATGTGTGCTTGTTGAGTGAAGTCGTCGCCGCTCAGTGATGAAGGATCTTGTCAGTTGTCATTTCCAAGAACATGTCTTGCAAATGTACAGTGAGAGTGCGAGTGAGAGAGAGTCGATTGATGCTTGTGCTTGAGTGTGGGTGGGTGTGCTCTTAGAACATACGTTCACATATAATTGTGCTTTAAGATACTGCAGGTCGATTGGCTGCAAATAAGTTGAGTTATTTTTATGTATTTTGAGTACATTAACTATGTCAATGACGGTTTCTGTCAGTACCACGATCAGTATATACAGTATAACACAGTATAGTCAATGGTGAAAAGGAGGCGAGCCGAAGGCGAGCTTTAGGGGTGGGACTGGGAGAAGTCAGAGGGAGAGGTCATAATCTTATCCAAAATTCCAAATTTTAAAAATATGCTGGCGTCCAAATGTTCCAGGGAGTTAAGTAATCATTTAACCTCTCCGGAACTCCCAGATGTTTAGGCTCGCTTCGCTCGCCACCCCACCCTCTTGGGTAGTTATAATGAGGGGGGCCTCCACAGGTCTAAATCTGGCACTATCCAGACAACTTTCTCAAACCCGGTAAAATCTCTTATCCCCCGGAACTTTTTACAGCTACTGGTAGAAGTTTCCAAGAGTCTAAACTATGCATCTTGCAGAAACACTAGCCCACATCCCTAAGATCTTTCTGGGTGGTGGGGAAGGTCTTTCAAGAGTCTTAACTACCAAAGTCTGTAAATACAGTTCTAATTAAGTTGGAAACTCCATTTCTTTACTAGAATAATCCTGAATAGTTTATCTAAAAGTTTGGCCAAAGAAATATATTAAAAAAGAAAAAACAACTCTGTGATACAGGCATGTGAGGTGCCTCATGAATCAAGCTGTTACATGCGGCTGTGGGGGATTAATGGGTACACTGCATCATGTTACTGACCTGATCTGATGCAATGTCAGGGTCACCCATTGTTGGGTGAGGGATAGTGGATCTCATGACCTGAAGATGTCTTCAATAATGATGAGCAAAGGTATTTTTGAGGCGCAAGGCTGCTAGCAAAAGAGTGTACGGGTATAAACTTTTAGTCATAAAATCTGCTCTAATTGTGTTAGAGAAATTTATTTTGTACCGTTGTATACATGGAAATGCATTCTTGATGAATTATTTTTGACCTATGATATATATACAATATAGTATATGAAGTGTACAGGTATTAATGGTAATTTATGAGAATACCGTTACCACCAGAAGGGGCTGTTCGAATTTGTCCATTTTTTCCACAGATATTCTTGTCATCTTACCAATGTACAATATTAATTAAGTAGAGGCACTGTACTTTTAAAAGGCAACAGCTTATTATTTCAATTATGTCTCCCCGATCATAAATCACCCATAGTGGGCAGGGCATGAACGATGAGGGAAATTGCAGGGCAAAACAGTGAAAAACTGTGACTGACACCACTGACTGCTGCAGGTAGGACCTGTGACACCACTGACTACAGCCACTCCTCAACTTACGACCGCCCGGACATACGACCGCCCCAGATGTACCAAAAAATTTTCAAATTACGTATTTTCGAGTCCCGACGTAAGTGATTGCGCTGTGTACTGACAAAAATTTTGTTTGTAATTACATTTAAAATGGCTGGCATGCTTAAAGTGAGAGTTTTGTGGTGCTGAGAAGAAAAGGAGACACCCATTTTAGATTTTCTATGTATTATTTTTGCATTTTCGACTTACGGCCAATTTGACTTACGACCTGGAATTGGGTCCCTAACCCCGTCGGGGAGAGACTGTATATCCTTTCCTGGCCCTTAAGCCACGCCCCTCTTCTATACTAATAGCTGATTTGTTCATAGAAGATTCAGACTAAATGTGGGTATCAGGACTGCCCCCAATGCCAGTGATTAACTGGCACAAAACATGGAACTGTACTAACTAAATAGAGAGGAGAAAATAGCTCAGAATTATACTTATTGGCTTATGTACAGAACACGGCGATTCTCTAAGTCTTGTACGATGGTTGCTAGACTGGCTGTTGAATCATGATAACGTTTCCTCTTAGGTGGTGTTGGATCTCCTGTAATAATCTGGTTGATGGTGACGTTGGTTAGGATAGGTTAGGTTAGGTTAGATTTGGTCTGGTTTGGTTTGGTTTGGTTTGGTTTGGTTACGTTACGTTAGGTTAGGTTAGCTGTACATAAGATTCGTTCAAGCAATGGGGGGCAGTTGTCCGGGACCAATTGTTCGGGGGGGAAGTTGTCCTAGAACCCTAAAGGCGTTCACAATTGGTAACCAGACCCATTATTATCTAAAATAATGTTAAATAACACCATATTTGCATAATGCAAATCATTTCAAGGCATTAGCACTTCAGAGAGGCAGCTTAGCAAATGTTGCATATTTATTATAAAAGGTCGATATAAATACGTGCCTATACAGTATACACGCAGTCCGGGGAGGAGGTAAAACGCTCAGGGGAACCAATCAGCGATTTGTAGCTATAGACGAAGGACGTGGCTTACAGGCCACGTTAGTGTGGAAAGGGTATAGTGTAGGTGGGACCTGACGTGTACCCCTGCCTGTGGATGTGACACCACTGACTGCTGTAGGTGGGGCCTGAAGTGCACCCCTGCCTGTGGATGTGACACCAATGACTGCTGTAGGTGGGACCTGAAGTGTACCCCTGCCTGTGGCTGTGACACCACTGACTGCTGTAGGTGGGGCCTGAAGTGTACCCCTGCCTGTGGCTGTGACACCACTGACTGCTGTAGGTGGGGCCTGAAGTGTACCCCTGCCTGTGGCTGTGACACCATTGACTGCTGTAGGTGGGGCCTGAAGCGCACCCCTGCCTGTGGCTGTGACACCACTGACTGCTGCAGGCCGGTGAACATTTAAAACACTGTACGTGTTTGAACATTATAAAATGCATGCCAGCATTTCAACCAAATGTCTCATTCCCAGAGGCAATGTTCTCCTTATGCTGTACTCTAATATAAGATTACTGTTTTGTTTGATTCTGTTATTTTCCTATACATCTTGGTGTAAGTTAAAGTGTAACTGCTCTGTATAACATAGTAATAGTCATCCAATTACACTACAACTGATTTTCATGAAAACTTGTGTATAATTCTCCAGAAAGTGACAAAATACCCATTTTGACCAGTTTTGGCTTACTTGACCTTCAAAATTACCTTTAAGGTCCAAGTTCAGGGTGGCATCCACCCACATATTTTCTCCTACCCCATATTCAATTGACCCGGCATGGATGTATAATTTTAACAGCAAATATAAAGTCTACCATTTTTGGTAGGTAACCTCAAGATCCATTAGCTGACCACTACAGTACAGAATAACGTATTAAATAATTCAGTAGAAAAATAAAACCTTTTGTATACATTTATTTATCAAAAAAGCAAATTTAAGGCAACATACTTCTTTTTCCTCGTTGAAGAGTTGTTCCTTGAAGAAGGGCCCGGGTCGTTCCTTACTGAAGGGCCCGGGTCGTTCCTTACTGAAGGGCCCGTGTCGTTCCTTACTGAAGGACCCGGGTCGTTCCTTACTGAAGAGCCCGGGTCGTTCCTTACTGAAGGGCCCGGGTCGTTCCTTACTGAAGGGCCCGGGTCGTTCCTTACTGAAGGGCCCGGGTCGTTCCTTACTGAAGGGCCCGAGTCGTTCCTTACTGAAGGGCCCGGGTCGTTCCTTACTGAAGGGCCCGGGTCGTTCCTTACTGAAGGGCCCGGGTCGTTCCTTACTGAAGGGCCCGGGTTGTTCCTTATTGATGGATCAGGTTCTCTTGTTTCATAAATTTCCTGGGATAAAGTGACTTCATTCACCATACCATCATTCCTTGAATATATAAACATAATTAGGAAAACGTATACAGTACTGTATTACATATCTACAAGTGAGCACAGTACAGCATGCCCTTAAAATTCGTGGGGGTTAGGTTCTCAAAATGGTCACGAATCACCAAATCCGCGAATAACATTTGCTGACCTGGGGGGGGGGCATTTTTACTTGTGTACTAAGAAATGTATATTCCCTTTATGTGTTTGTTCTTAGGGCAATTATTTCTTTTACCTGTATTATACTGTATAAATGTGTGTATTGTTATTGTGTGTGATGTTTTACACACACACCAAACCTATACTATACAAATAAAAGTATGTAAAAATCCTCTCACAAATAATCGAAACAAGACAACAAAATGCTTTAATAAGAGTCTACCCTCAGTCTACTCCGTGCTTTGTTATAACTTTAATAACAAGGCAGGAGTAGACTGAAAAACTTTAACATTTTAAAGCATTTTTATTGTCTTGTTATTTATTACACACACACACACACAAAATTACTGTCTCTAGAATGAATGGCTCCCTGTCCTGGCAGTGAAACTAAAACTACTTAGACATTGCGGGTACTTCAGGTGTCATTAGAATAAATAGAGGACCGTGAATTAAAATCCGTGAATTGTCAGGGCTTGCTGTACAGTACATACTGACTGTGGAATAGATAAGTTCATTAGTCTTGTGGGAGACTGCATGCAAAAAACTTAAAGGTGGGGAAAACAGGCCATGTACATGTTTTACTTTTATACTCTTCAGTACTGATCGTCATTAGCCACTTAGGCGTCGGTCCGCGTCTGTTACGCACTGTTGGCAAGTATTGGGCATGTACCGGCTCCTGAAATATCGGAGCCTGCTCCAGGTATTTGGTCAAAGTCAAGATGCTTGAAAAGGTCACTACTTTTCCCGGAGCCGTCACATCCTCTGCCAGAATGTTCCAGAGTTCCTGGCTCTGCTCCGAAAAGTTGCCTCACAGTTTTCTGGGGCTTGTGGCTTCTAGCCTTCAACCTTGAGCTGCTTGACCCCTTGGCCAGGCGTCATCAGCTCAAGGAATGCACATTCGGCCACAAGAATAAGAACCTGCGCTACTGTTGATGTTTGAGTCAAAATATCTGGTAACACTGTCTGAACAGAACAGACAAAATTACAAATGATCTACATAGTGTATGAACATTCCTACATATATGTTATAAATACATTTGTTTTAAAATGTTTTGCATGTCTTGTGTTTATATTACATAGGTAATATATTTAGCATCAATGGTAGTAAGCTTGTTGCTGAATAGAGTTACAGTTGTCGTGCAATACTCCTCACTCCCACTTTTTCTCTTACTTTTTTTTTTTACTGATGTTTGGTTTAATAAAGGAAGGAAGAGGAGTAAATGAAGAATAAAAGGAAGGAAACAGAAAAATAGATAGAGAGATGGTGGGAGAACCAGGTTTCATCATGAGGTCTGGATGCACAGGTTTCAACATTACCAGACCATTTTCAGACGCACAGCTGGTGTGTATACTTGTTCCTGTGGCCATTTCTTGCATTCATCAAGTAGTGTCCTTCATTGGGGTGGCTTCTTAGTATAAACTGGGGTAGGTTACGACATTCTAATCTCTCTGAGTTAGCTGAGGGTTCTGTAGAGGCAGGTACCAGTCAGAACAGCCTCACATGAGACATTTTTAATTAGTGGAGTCTCGGCACACCTCGGGGATGAGCAGGGTGACAGTACTCAGATGGGAAGCACCTCACTCTTAAAAGATCGCCTGACAGCGGCAGGATATCCAGGTATCTAAACAAAGTTCTGATAGGTCTAGTTTAGATTACCGATTCACTTTCTTCTCTGGTCAAGAACTTAAGTTTCATTGTCCACATAAACACTAGGCTGCTACGTGAATCATAGCCAGTCTCTTAGCCCTGTTGGGACATGTGATACCTCACTTACTGTTGCAAGCCTTGGAATCCTCTGCAACCATTGACATTTAGCAGCCATTTCTTGACTTAAAGCTGTGATTCTCTAGCTCTTCACAGTCTCTCTTTGGTTCTTAACATTCTCTAAATAACTTGGCATGGAGTCGTGACTTATCTATATGGAGGAGAGTATAGCTTCAGCACTTATTATTAATAAGCGGACAAACAACAACAGGCCCTGTAGTGCCCCGCTTCTCACGGGTACATCTGAATCTACCGTGCCATTTTATCACCCATAGCTGTTTGAGGTGGGCAGAATCTCTGTTTAAGCTAGGACAATTCCTGAATCCACAGACGCCTGTTGGTTCTAGCCTTTCACCAGATGCAGCTGTAAGCCTTGGCATCTATATATCTCAGGTGGCACCGGAATCTCATTGAAACTTTCCAATAGCTGAAATTGAAATTTGCTCAGAATTTTTCCGGAGGAAAATTCTAAAAAGTCTAACTGTGATATAATGACAGGAGGTTATTAAGGGGATGTCACCCTAAATTTGGTGAGTTCTAGGGTGACTAAAAAAGAGGCAGATATCATAACCAGCTTAGAGTCGTCCTAGATGTTGCACATGTGGGATTATATCTAGTGTGGGAGGGGTGGCAAGTGTTTCGGCACTGGCACTGCAGTGCCTCGTATGAAGTCGGGCCTAACTCAAAGTATTGGCACTTCTCGAGGTGGTGCTCTCCGGCATTACGGTGTGGGTGTCATTCTCCCAGGTAGAATTGATTTGGCACTTTCAGTTTGTCTTAAGACTATCCTTATACCTCTTCAATTGCTTACATGTTAATTTACTATTAAGTAAGGTGACTGTAAAGTATTTCTTTGGCAGTCTACTATAGATCCCATCACCAGGTAACATAGCCAGGTCAGAACACGTATATCACGGCCTATAAGGCGAATTTGATCCTTAAAATCAACTAAAATTTGGGGTCGTCTTAAATACCGGGTATAAAATTCTTACTCACTACATATTGTGGTTTAGCGTGTCAAAATTGGTGATGAGAGGGCGTATAAAACCCTCTGCAGTCCACTAATTAATTGCTGCTGGCTTTACGTTTGCAGAGAGCTAGTTAAAAATTAGATTACGGTATAAAATAATACAAATAGATGCAACCTCTCCGCATACGTAAAAATAACAACATACCACGGTAATAAGCGCGTATCATCACCTTTTCTTCCGCGCCTTTTGCCAGTGACGAAGACAAAAAAGGGTATATTTTTTTTACATCAGCACCGCTTCAATCACCTCACCTTGCACAGGGTCATTTCCGCTTACCTTTGTGTCGAGTTGGCCAATAATGCATTTCTTTACTGATCATATCATTATTTCCCATAAATAATTCATTTAGACTTTTATTTTATTTGCATTACTCTTCATAAGAAGTTCTCAGCGTACATCCACACAGACTGGCCGTCAGGCTTTCTGAGAAGGAGACCACCTAGGTTTACAAATAATTATCGGAATAAATCCTGAAATGAAAAAAAAAAGATCCAAAGAGTGAGAAACAATATACTGTATGTATGTTGTGTTGTCAGTTGTGTTGTCAAAATAAGAGAAACAATTGAGACCCTGCAATTGTGTGTAAATAAGGCAGAAAGTCAGATCAGCAACCTGGGACTTGGTCACAATTTTCGATGCCATATGGAAGCAGGGTCTACCATTAGAGAATACATTATACTTTCAATATCTTCCCAGGCAGTATCTCAGTGTTTGGTAGCTGCCTACTACCTACACAACTTTTAGTAATATTACTTTGATACAACAGGATAAATTAGACAAACAATGAAAATAAACAAACAAAATTTAAATTACCAAGACCCTTCCCATTGGCCACTGTAAGAGGGGAGATAGGGCTATTTTTACCTGCCTTTGTGTTTCAAGTGGCCAGTAATGCACACCGAATATTTACTGATCATAATACTTATCTTCCTATAAAAATTCATTTAATATTTATTTTTACAATGAATATTCAGTAAATGACTGTGATAATTCTTGAAACTAATGCAAATAAAATAAAGTCTAAATTAATTATTTATGGGAAATAAGTACAGTAATACCCGATTTGCGCTGGTCAACTGAACCTCGGAGGTCGCGAAACGAGAAACACTTAAATGGAATGACAGAACATATGGGATTAATTGAAATAGAGACTGGGCCACTCCCAAACTCCACTTTTTCGGACACAATACCTATGTTGTAGTAAAATAACATTTTAATTTTATGATGGTATGCACACAATATTTAAGAGAAATACAGTCGCCAGGTTAATGTCCCCCCAGACTAAAATTAGGATAATATAATTGACATTGCTGGATTCCTTGCAAGACCAGGAATATTTTGAATATACATGTCATATATTTTGCACAAAATATAACATATTTGCTCTGTGTAAACAAAATTCTTGCATTAGATCTAAAATTTGTATGTCTAATGCAAAATCCATGATGTTTACATTCAAAATGATCATCATATTATAAGAATTCCAGCAATGTAAATTATATTCTGGCCAGGTAATTTGTATGAATTTTATGAGCTAAAACATATATCTTCATTAAATAAACAAAGAAATATTTGAAAATGCGCTCCGAAATCCATGCCGGAAAACTGAAGGTTCCGGATTTTTGATAGGCCACCTGTACTTAAGAGTGACTAAGCTCTTCTCATAATAAACAAACAAAATTTAAATGCAGACCCTTCCCATTGGCCACTGTAAGAGATAGGGCTATTTTTAGCCCGTCTTTGTGTCTCAAGTGGCCAGTAATGCACACACCAGTATGTTACTGATCATAATACTTATCTCTATAAATAATTCATTTAATATTTATTTTTTTACAATGAATATTCAGTAAATAGCTGCGATAATTCTTGAAACTAGTAAATAAAATAAACTCTAAATGAATTATTTATGGAGTATACGTATTATGATCAGTAAAGAAATGCATTATTGTGCTTTTCGGACACAAAGGCAAGCGGGGAAAATGACCTTAAAAGTGCGTAGTGACAGCGGCTGGATGTAAAAACTTTCCCTTTTGTCTCGTCACT